TTATTTATAAAAATCTTACAAATAAAAAGTTATATTATCAAATGTATTTAAAAAATGTTAATATAGATTGATTTGGTTGGTCAAGTTAAAAATTTCGATCAAGATCTTTATAAAATATTTGAAATTAAGAAAATCTTGTCAATTAAACTAAATTTTAGGCATTGTATCTTACAAATAAAGTTAAATATCAAACGTAATAATTATCTTTCCTTTAATATTGAAAACCAATTTTTTTTTTTATCAACTGAAAAATGAACGATGGAGATTAAATCTCTAAACCCGATTAACATATCCGTTTAGTTAGTTAGATCCGCGTGTTAACGCAGTTAGAAATGATAATTATTTCATTTTGAAACTATAGTATAAATTCATTGTGTACTTCAGATTTAATAGTATAGATAAATGCAGGGACATTTATAATATCAGCGGCAGTATGTGGAGCAACAATTGTATTCACATGGTGTTTGGTGCCGGAGACTCGAGGATTGACATTAGAAGAAATCCAACTCTCGTTTGTCAATTAATATATTATTCATTATTTTTGTTTTGATTAATTTTTAACATTACGTTTCCATTGTGTAATTGAATTCATAACCAACGTTTACTATTTCTTATTTTGTTTGTAACATATATATATATATATATATATATATATACAGATTTGCATTCAGATTATGTTATGTATTACTATAGGACATATTTCTATACTTTTTTCGATTTTTTCAGTTATTAATCATCTACTTCATTATGTAACTATAAAAATATGTTAGTGTGGTATATCACAATATCAGTATATATGTTACAAGAAAACAAAGAGACCACGTTGTAAAGGAGAGAACCTACAAAACGTTGTCGTTTTCAAACTCGCTCTCCAGAGGTGATAAGAGTCGAGGGACGTTCGGGTACACTCAACGACGACCTCTCGCTTAACGAGAGATATGTCTCTGAAACCTTACTTCTCTCTACGACTACACTCATCACTGCCTACAAATTCTAAACTCTCCAACTTCTTCATCGCTCAGCAACCCTCCGGCGACCGCAAAACTACCCCGGCCGAGGAGTTTTCTTTTCTAGCTGAGAGATTCAACCGTCGCCTTCTTCTGGGTGTAGGCTCGTCCTCTGTTCTTGCCGTCGGTGCTAATTTCGGTGGTATCACTAGCTTTTTACTCGGTTTATCGCCGGAACTCGGCCGGAATTTGAAACTCGACGTCGTCTATCCGATTGGAGGTTATAGCAGATGTGTCGACTCGGTTGAAGGATTCGGTTAGTAAAGTCATCCAATTTTTCCGGTTTAAATATATTAATAGTTTATTCGAAGATGGATCAATTTTTTATTAATAAATAATCACAGAATTTATATATCCGGCTACGTGGGTTGGAGACCAGACGCTTTTGTATAGAGCGGCGGAGAAGTCTGAACGTGAGACATCGCTAGACCTTCCTCCGGCAAGAATCAGTAGTCGCCGTAAAAACGTTAATGAGCCGGTTGTTGCTTTTGGACCTCCCGGTTCGACCGGCGAGCTCAACGTCAGTGTTATCGTCTCCCCTGTCTCACCCACTTTCTCGTAAGTTGAAAATCACATATTTTTGTAGATCATGAGTGGACACATTCTTTGTTCATATGGTTTACAAAGATTTTGCAAAACAAAAAAGAAACTTTGAACTAGCTATGATAAATCTGATTGATCATGAGAAAGAAATGTTGTACGGCTAGATATATTGGTTTTGTGGTCTAACTAGTTTCAAGATTGTTTATTACACTACATCTAGTAATGTTTGAACTGAAACAGTCTATCTATCTCAGTGTGCATCCGTCACATAAGTTGGTAGGACACCCGATTAGCTAAAGTGTTAAAGACTGTCTTAAAGTTGTGTAGCAATTGGTTTATTTGAAGAGGATCAACGTAAGACAATAATTTCCTTATGAAGTGTTTGTTGTTTATGATGTATGTATAGGATCGAAGCATTTGGAGGGCCAAAAGAAGTAGGAGAAGCAATAGTAAGAACGGTGACAGGATCTGGTCAACGAACAGATTTAAAAGGAACTTTGCTGGAATCAAATCTCAGACAAGATTCAGAGAGAAACTTGAAGTACTATGAGTTGGAGTTTAAAGTTGAATCCCCCGTTTTCCGGCGGCATAATGTAGCCATTTGCTGTGCTCACGGTGGCCGGCTTTATACGCTGAACGCTCAAGCTCCAGAGTCAGCTTGGTCGGAGGTGAGATCAGAGATTTACACTACTGCTAAATCGTTCAACATCATTTCTTGACCGTAAAGGAAATCAAATTGTAAAAACCAAACCAAAAATGAAATAAGACATTTACAAAGCATGGCTTATTTTGTTTCTTCAGTAATCAGTAAGTAGAATTCAACCAAAGAGACCACGTTCGAACCAACTAATGTTTTTGTGGAAGATTGAGGACACAATAAGCGAGACTGAGTAACACTATTTTGAGCATAATCATGTCTTTATTGATCGTGCCGCTATATAAACACTGCACCTAGCAATTATAAAATTTTGATTAATTAAAAAATATTATTTTTTAAAAATTAAATAGAAAGTAATATATCATAAAATTGCATCTTTAAACAAACGAAACTAAAAAACGCCCATCTCTGCTCCTCGGCTTCTCTCAATCTCCGATCAAATCCGCGGTTGAAGTCAGAGAAAGAGACAAATGGCTATGGCTAGAGCAACCTCTGGTCCCGCTTACCCGGAGAGGTTCTACGCCGCCGCATCTTACGTCGGTCTCGACGGATCTGATTCGTCGGCGAAAAACGTCAGCTCGAAATTCTCCAAAGATACTGCACTACTTTTCTATGCGCTGTACCAGCAGGTCAGCAACTCCCATTTCTGATCTCCCAACCTCATCCTTCCGGATTTTGGTTTTCAATTTCACGAGATCTGGTGGTTTCAATGTTCATTTCTTTGTTTTGTTCATCGATTCATATTCAATCTCCTCGAATTCTTATCAGATTTTTGAAATGACGCACTTTAATCGTCTTGATTTAGCTATATTTCACGATCCTGGTCAGGTTTTTTTTGGATGTTACCAGAGAGAGTACGAGTTAAGAAAAAAGATCCATCCATTGCTGACCGTTTAACTTCTAAGTGAAATGTTGCCTGAGATTTGACTTTAAAACGTGATTTAAGTAGTTCTATTAATCAGATCTCACGTACTCATTGGTCCTTCAATCTTAGTTTGTTAGATCCATATTGATTATGTAACTTGTTATGTGATTCTAATGTCAAAAAGTTAGCCTTTTCACATGTGTTTTTGTGTTCTGCATCCTTTGATCATTGGTACTTAGTCAGTATTAGTATTGTCGTAGACTAATTTTTTATATACATGGTGCTGAACTGGTTGTTGCTTTAGAGAGAGAGGGAGAAACTTTCTCTTCTACTTAATCATATGTTGAGTCAACTAAAATTTCCTCCCTGGGATTGATAGGCTTTGTGTTGATGCTTTCTTGGATTTAACATGTAAACAGGCTACTGTCGGGCCATGCAACACTCCCAAACCTAGTGCATGGAGACCTGTGGAGCAAAGCAAATGGCAAAGGTTAGTTTGCTGCTTTCTGCCAATACTTATCTATGATTAACATCTATTCATTCATCACTGGCTCTTTTACGTTTCTACGCTTGAGTTTGTGAATCATATTTGTAGGAAGAAGTTTTGTCGTAGATATAACTAGGAGATGCCTTAGATTTTATCAATTACTAGAGTGGAAGAATTCAGATGCCTCATAAGGGGAACCGCAAATGGGGTTCTACTGTAAGCTGTTAGAGGAATATTTGAAATGCAGGATTTGTGTTTGCACCCCTATGGAAAAAACTAAATTCTTACCTATGTTTTGGTCTACATTACCGAGGTTGTAACTGCATAGGATGCTTTTTAAGGAAAACATGCCTTTAACGTTGTCCTAGTAAACTTTGCTGAAAGAAACACATGCTGCTATTCTGAAGCATTTCTATATATACTTTAGTTGGAAGGGGCTAGGAACGATGCCGTCCATTGAGGCAATGCGTCTCTTTGTGAAAATTCTGGAGGTAACTGACAGAGAGGTCTAAGATTATTATCTTAAACGACTTTACTGGAGCATATACTTGATTTCTTCCCAATTATTGTTCAATTTTTACCAGGAAGAAGATCCTGGTTGGTATTCGAGGGCATCTAATGATATTCCGGACCCTGTCGTAGATGTCCAAATTAATGTAAGTTTTTCTATCCCATGGGATTCAATGTCTAAACCATGAGAAATATTACACATATCTTTTGCTTGGCTGAAGAAAAGTATTCGAGTCTTTTAGTGCTTCATTCTCTGTAGCAGACAACGAAAGATGAGCCTGTTGTTGAGAACGGGAACTCATTTGATGAGACGAAGACAATTTCTACTGAGAATGGACGTTTGGCTGAAACCCAAGATAAAGATGTAGTCTCAGAAGACTCAAATACTGTTTCTGTATATAACCAGTGGACCGCACCCCAAACATCAGGTCAGATGCCAAAAGCCCGTTACGAGGTAATTTAATTTCTCTCTCTTTTGGAAGATAAGTAAAACGTCCTATCATTCATGAATCTTCTGTATTTTCTAAGTCTTGTTTTATTACATTTGTTTCTTTAGCATGGAGCAGCGGTTATTAAAGATAAGATGTATGTATATGGTGGAAATCACAATGGCCGTTACCTCGGTGATCTTCACGTAAGCAACTTATATGATTCTTAAGCATAAGCTGATTGAGATATTTTGTTTCATTTTAACCTAGCTTGGCAATTTCAGCCCCGTTGACAGTTCCTAAGCGCTTCTTCTGTGAACTGTGTATAGGTTCTAGATTTAAAAACCTGGACTTGGTCAAGAGTTGAAACCAAGGTGGCAACTGAATCACAGGAAACATCAACTCCAACATTATTAGCTCCTTGTGCTGGTCATTCTTTGGTTAGTTTTTAACTTTTGCATTTTGTTTTGTTTTCTCTCATTTGACTTTCTGGCCTAGATATTCAAGACATGGTAACAAAGGAGAGTCTAGCTATACATTATTTTCACTTGTCTCCTTTGCTTGTTTTGTAGGTACCATGGGACAACAATCTGCTGTCTATCGGTGGTCATACAAAAGATCCCTCAGAATCTATCCAAGGTTAGTATTAATATACCTTTGAAGACGATTAGTTGCACATATCTTATAGAAGTTTTCTGGACTCATTAATTACATATCATTTTTCCGCTGTTTTCTTGTCACAGTGAAGGTCTTTGATACCCAAACAAGTACATGGTCAATTTTGAAGACATATGGAAAACCGCCGGTATTTCTGCTTCTCTCTGTCTCATTTTTTTTGTCCGTCACCTTTTCATCGAAATATTCCATTTTATAAACAATTTTTAAGTTTTTGGCCGTCAAAATACAAAAAAAGAAAAAAAAAAGAAAAAAGTTGTTTCTTGTTTTCTTTTCTTACCCTCCCATAATATCTCCAGGGTTAAGTTGCATCTGAATCTAGTATTTCTCCTTCTTGATTGGAAGGTTAAATATGCAGTTTAGTTACTTAGACTGAGACTTCATTAATTCTTCCTTTCAGGTTTCACGTGGAGGCCAGTCAGTCACAATTGTGGGTAAAACTTTGGTGATATTTGGTGGGCAAGATGCAAAGCGTTCACTTCTGAATGATTTGCATATACTTGACCTAGAGACGATGACCTGGGATGAGATAGATGCCGTGTAAGATTTTATGATGCTTCTGCACTTTGTTCTCATTCGAAGATGTGAAACCCATTTAATATTAGAAATTTAACCCGAATACCTTTATAAATCCACCATCTATCTCCTTTAGTAATTAAATAGTCGTTTTTGAAAGATTAGCAATTCAGGGTTGAAACTGGTGTCAAATTGCAGGGGTGTATCTCCATCTCCGAGGTCTGATCATGCTGCTGCAGTGCATGCGGAACGTTACCTTCTTATCTTTGGTGGGGGCTCACATGCAACCTGTTTTGATGATCTGCATGTCCTTGATTTGCAGACTGTAAGCTAAGCTAAGAGTCTATTTTTCAGCTGCTATCAAACGTTCTTTGTCGTTTGATATAACTGTTACATGCAGATGGAATGGTCAAGACCAGCACAACAAGGTGAGGCACCAACTCCAAGAGCTGGACATGCTGGTGTGACAATTGGGGAGAACTGGTTTATTGTTGGTGGTGGTGATAACAAGAGTGGTATGTTCATACACTTTTCCATGGAAATTATCTTCTTTTCCCAACCGTTTCTGTTTATTCCCCTCTGGAACCTTTCTGGGGAAAATAGATATTTGCTTTGTCTTGCGTGGTAACTGATTTGTGATAAATTACTGCAGGGGCATCTGAGAGTGTTGTACTAAACATGTCAACTCTTGCATGGTCGGTAGTCGCTTCAGTTCAAGGACGTGTACCTCTTGCTAGCGAGGTACTTAAATGAACGGAGTTTATCCATGTTAACCTCCAGATTACTATTAGAAAACAGTATTTTCACCACATTATAGTTGCTTTTTAAAGACTTCCAAAAATATCAGTTTTGTGTATTTCAATTTCATCTTCCTTTCGTTTTCTACTGACAGGGATTAAGTTTAGTCGTGAGTTCATACAATGGTGAAGATGTATTAGTCGCCTTTGGTGGATACAATGGGCGTTACAACAACGAGGTAGAGACTGTGATCTAAACCCATAAGTACATGTCTCTTGATTTTGCATATAGTTCTGCTTCTAATTATTTCTTGGCGGTAGATCAATCTTCTTAAACCAAGCCACAAATCAACATTGCAAACAAAGACTCTAGAAGCGCCTTTGCCAGGTAGTCTTTCTGCTGTTAATAACGCCACAACCAGAGACATTGAGTCTGAGGTTGAGGTGAGCCAAGAAGGCAGAGTGCGGGAAATCGTCATGGACAATGTTAACCTTGGATCAAAGGTATATTCTTGTCAGAATTTTCGTCCTTATAGCAGCACCGTTTGATTTGGTCGTGATTTTGACTCACCTATCTATTGCGATATTATATTTAAAAAAATATCAGTGTGGCTATTTTGACTTTTGTGGGATAAAGATGCATATATATTATATGGTACTGGTAGTGATTGTACCAGCACAGGATATAGTTCAGTCCGGATCATCTCCATCTCTTTTGCTCTTATGTTGTTTTTGGTATGAATCCCCCAGGTTGAAGGAAACAACGAAAGCATTATTACGACTCTTAAATCCGAAAAAGAAGAACTAGAGGTATCACTGAACAAGGAGAAGATGCAGACTCTCCAACTAAGGCAGGAGTTAGGAGAAGCAGAATCACGAAATACAGATTTGTACAAGGTAATAAGATTATCATCTTCTTGAAACACAAACCTACATGAATAAATTGGTGAACTAATAGTTCATTATGACTGGTTGCAGCAAATGCTTCCAATTGCATTCACATTTAATCATCTGAATCTAAGATTTTTTCTCTTACTCTACTTTGTACTGCCATTTTATAGGAACTTCAGTCTGTTCGTGGCCAACTTGCTGCCGAACAATCAAGGTGTTTCAAACTGGAGGTATAAAACCCGTAGCCACTTCTCTGTTATACTGTAACCTACAGAAGATGGAAACTCGTGAAACCTGTGATTTATTTAATCACTACATATACTCAACTAGGGGATGATTTAGGAATCTAGATGGTTAGAACTTAAATCCATTCCAAACAGTGGATCCATCACTAATCTCTCTGTCATCTGTTACATCATGGAAAGAAAAAACAAAGCAAATCTAATTCGGGTCTGGTTCTTTAAATCAATCTGCAGGTTGATGTTGCAGAGCTAAGGCAAAAGCTTCAAACATTGGAAACACTACAAAAGGAACTGGAACTCCTTCAGCGTCAAAAGGCAGCATCTGAACAAGCTGCAATGAACGCTAAACGACAGAGCTCGGGTGGCGTCTGGGGCTGGCTCGCTGGAAGCCCTCAGGAGAAGGATGATTCGCCATGAGAATTTTTTTACAGAATTGATCATTTTCTTTTGAGTAAAGAAATATATACATATAGAGAGAGAGAGAGAGATTTTTTTTGTCCGAGTCCCTCACATGGTTTCTTCTTCTTCCAAATAAGATATTTGAATACCGTATTTTTTGAGCTTTGTTCTATATTACTCTTAAATCGTGTTAGTTCTCTGTTATTTATACAAGTTATCACCAGAATATTTGTTAACTGTTTTGAAGTATTTGTCTTGCGAGTGTCAGAGAAAATTAATATTCTGATGTTTTTCGACTTACGAGTCAGTATACTGTTGGTCTTTAACATTAAATTAATTCTGTAAGCCATAAAATAAAATAAATGGTAGGAAGACGAAGACATCACGTTTTCTTGCGACAAAAAAGAATACCAAGACGTGGCGACCTGCTATTGGACGTGAAGGTTCAACCGTTGAGCATCAGCATTCATGACGCTGAAAAGTTACCAAAATGTCCCTGTCACACAAGTGAAGTGTTCTTTTTTTTTTTGTCATCTTCTCCAGCTTTCCTCCCATGGAGTTTTTTTAAATCGTCTCTTCCAGACATCTAAAAAAATATCAAGATTTAAACAAAATTTACACATCGTCTGGCTTCGAGTTGTTTCTGGGGTTTGATGTCATTGTTATGAAGCTGTTGAACTCAGAGAGGTTCAAGTGCGGTTAGAGAAATGGACTCTGCTAAGGTGAAGGCTAGGGTTTTTGGCGATAGTTTTGTTTCTTTTACTGGTAATGATGGCTCGAAGAAATTAGAAGCGATTGATCAGGCCAAAGCTTTCCTTATGGACCTTGATTCGGTTGCTACAGACAGGGGAAGTGATAGTTGTGGATATTGCGATTTAGGTTCTCGAGTGTCTGACAGTGAAAGGGAACCTAGTTTATGTGAGATGAAAAGAGAGAATAGAGACTCTGACGCCAAATTTTATAAGCTCAGCTTGGGAGCTGATGAGAAGAACACAGGAACGGCTTCGAAGGAGGAAACGCGAGTTCCGGACTACAAATCTTTCTTGTCTGAGTTCGATGATTATGTTGCAAGCGAGAAAATGGGTTCTAAAGTTTCTAGGGCGTTGAGAAATGGGTTTGAAGTGGGAGATATGGTATGGGGAAAGGTAGAGTCACATCCTTGGTGGCCAGGTCAAATATTCAATGAAGCTTTTGCGTCTCCCTCTGTTCGTCGTATGAAGAAGATGGGTTACGTTCTGGTTGCTTTTTTTGGAGATAGTAGTTATGGCTGGTTTGATCCTTCTGAGCTTATTCCCTTCGAACCTCATGTCTCAGAGAAATCAAAGCAAACGGATTCGAGTCACTTTGCAAAAGCTATGGAGGAAGCTATGGATGAAGTTGGTCGAAGGTCAGCTCTTGGGTTGACTTGTAAATGTCGGAATCCTTCTAACTTTGGGCCTACTAGTTTTAAAGGTTACTTTGCTGTTCATGTGCCTGATTACGAAGTCCGAGCTATTTACTCTTCTAAGCAGATTCAGAAAGCTAGAGATAGTTTTTCATCTGTTCAAACTCTAGCTTTCGTAAAGCGCTGTGCATTAGCACCTCAAAAGTGTGATTCAGACAGCATAAAGTCTTTCCAGAAGAGAGTCGCAGTTTATGCTTTCCGCAAGGCAGTGTTTGAGGAGTTTGATGAAACATATGAGCAGGCCTTCAGGGCAAGATCTTCAGTAAAGACAAATGAACCACTTAATAGAGCACCCCCTCGAGGTAGCATCACCTTTCAGCGATCTTGGCATTGTTTTGAATACATTTGTAATATTTCTGCTTCAGTTTTCAGATTCTATGAAGTTATGTTGGACCTTTCTCGTATGTATCATAGAGATGCAGTACTCTATAAATTGGTGATCTCTTTGGGTTCAGTTTTGCTTGTTTCTCGAGCCAGATAGGCACATTCGAGAGTTTTGTGGCTTTGATATCCTTGGAAATCCGAGAAGTTTAGACTTTTTAAGGTTTTCTTGGTAGTATATAGCCTTTGAAGTTGTATTCTTAGAATGCGTCTAAAAGGCATGGAATATCTTTGATCTTAAATTCTGCATTTTAAAGCAACTTCACAATGTGGACTGTCATTTTACCTTTCCTGTTTGCTTTACTTTTATTGTTTTTGGGTGGTTGGAAAAGATTTCATCTTTCCTCATGCATTGCTAATGTTTACAGCCCCATTGAGTGGCTCACTGGTCCGTGCAGAAACTCTGAACAAGTCGAAGAGCTCAACAAAAGCTATGAAAGTAAAGGATTCTACTAAACAAGAAAAATATCATCCTAAAAGAAGAGAGGAAGCTGGTTATATGACAGTTCAATTTGGTCGGGTCCAAACATCTTTTCATCTTCAGGGCATCAACGGATCTTCAGTCAGGAATCATGTACTGCAGAAAAGGACTCAACATCTCCAAACTCCGAGGAAACATGAGCAGACCGGGATTGTCAGCATGAACTTCACCTCTTCAAGTGGTGATATTCCTAGAAAGAAATCCTCTGTTTCAACGCTCTCGCGTGATGATGACAAGGGTTTAGCTCAAGAATCAGAGGTGAGAATGGGAGAAGAAACTGCTCTATGTCCTGACCATGAGAAATTTGAAGCAATGACCAGTCTTAACCAAGTTGAGACTGGCATGAATTCGAGATTCAAGGAAGGCTCTCTCCAGCCCTTTATTGAGAGAAAATGTTCTGCAGAAGTTGGGAATAAGGAAGGCAATGTCCTGAAACGGTCTTCTGGCGAAATGAATTCTGAGAATGGTCCTCCAGAGCCGATGAAGAAGAAGAAGAAGAATTCGAAGAAAGAGTCTGGGTCAGAGCTGAACCATTATAGTCCAAATAAGAGGAAAGCTTTATCTTCTGGTGAAGCTTGGGCCAAGAAATCATCACAACTGAATTCAGCAAAGAGAAACTCTAAACTTGATGGTCTACAGCTGTTGAGTTATTTGCAAGCTCTCTCGCTTGACCCTTCCTTTGGATCCTCGGATAGAAGTTCTATTAGAGCTGTAAGACAGTTCTTTTTGCGTTTCCGATTGCTTGTTTACCAGAAAAGCTTGGCCGTTTTTTCTCCTTTCACGACACAACCATCAAATTGTGCTAAGACTTTGAGCAGAACCAATGAACCATTAAAGGCCAGGAAAAAACGCTTGCCTTCTGCCCATCAACAAGATGTCCCAACTAAGAAGCTAAAGAAAACCAATCAGTTCAAAGCTATGGCTTTTGACAAGAAATCCAACCAAGAAGCAACGAAGAGACCAAGTCTTGGATCTTTTAATATAGTAAGAGACCGAGTTGGTCCAGCCCCCATCAGTGCCAAACCGGCTATAGCTCAACTAGAAAAGAATATGGCTCCATCTGCAAAGGTACTTGAGCCAACAATGCTGGTCATGATGTTTCCTCCTGGTACATCTCTCCCTTCCACCGCTCTGCTTAAGGCGAGGTTTGGACGCTTTGGACAGTTAGATCAATCAGCCATCAGAGTTTCCTGGAAATCCTCAATCTGCCGTGTTGTCTTCCTGTCTAAACTCGATGCGCAGACTGCTTTAAGATATGCATCAGGAAGCAACTCTATATTTGGCAACGTGAATGTGACGTACTTTCTCCGCGACATGAATGCTCTCTCTGCATCCGGAGATCATGAACTGAAGAACGCCAAGATAGACGAACCAATCAGTGAACAACCATTGAACGAGCGGCTAGAGCAAGCACCGCCGGTTAACCAACCAAACATCCAGCTCAAGTCCTGTTTGAGAAAACCAGGAAATAATGTTAATGGTAAGCACGGTACAGCACGAGTGAAATTCACGTTGGGTGGGCAAGAAACAGAGACAAAGTTTTTGGTTTCCGGTAGAAACAATGGAAATGACACTTCATCATCATCATCATCATCTGTTGCCATGGGATATGTTAGTAAGAACACTCAAAACATGGTTCCGTCAACATTGGTTCCAGTACTTCCTCTTTCTCCACAGTTGTCAAAACCGAAGCCTGTTGATAATGAAGACCACGTCGAGCCACCCCTAAACCCATCGCAGCATACGGTGGACATCTCCCAGCAGATGATAAAGCTGTTAACAAGGTGTAACGATGTTGTGGCTAACGCCACGGGTTTGTTGGGTTACGTCCCTTATCATTCCTTATGAAAGATTACGTTAAAAAGTCTGTAGAGAGAGATGTAGGTGAAGTTTCGTGTGCTTACAATATTAGTAGGGCATGTTTAATACTATTTTATACTAGTAAGTAGTATGGTTACTTTTGCTGTTGTGCGCTCTCTCTCTTTCTCGCTCGCTCTATCTATTTCCGGAGTTGGCATATAAACCAAATTGAACCGAATCCTAAACCAGAATGCGTTTACGACTTTATTGGTTTTCCTATTATAAAACCAAAATTTAATTTGCATCAAATGACTAAGAATTGTTTTGTAAATCATAATTGAAACCAAATTTAGACGCTTGTAACCCACTTTTAATTATCACGTTTTAAATTTGTTTTGAGTCTAATTTAGTCTATCATGGTCATGACATCTGCACATAGCATAATAATAATAAATTATTTTATTTAAAATCAGGTATTATCGGATCCTAGCAAATATATTTCCTTTTATTAAGTGCAACTTATATTCTTCCAACAATATAGCCAATTTCGATATTGTTGCGGATTTTTCAGTCTCCAAAAGGCATACTAATAATCGTAAGAGACTTTTTTTTTTTTAAATACACAATAATTTCTAGTAGAGTATCAAACAAACTTTATAATACTCCAACAAATTATATATTCCCTAAATCTTCTTTCTTTCTATCTAAGTTACTCGATCGTCTCTTTTCTCTTTTTCTTCTCCTGATCCTCCACACTTACTTATAATGGATTATTATCAACCGGTGGAGATTAGCGTTCTATCAGCACAAGATCTCGACTCCGTAAATTTTTTGTTCAGACCAACAGTGTATGTTTCTGTCTCGGTCACGCGTGGTTCACGTGACCAGCAAGTCACTCCAGCAGCTGCGTGCGGTAAGAAACTCTTACGGTGGAACTACCGTATGAAATTCTATATAGAAGATGACAAGGTTCAAAGGAACGAGTCAGTGTTTGTGTTTCAGATCAAGTGTAAGAGATTCTTCGGGTCCGACCAAGTCGTTGGGAAGCTTTTCGTACCGGTAAAGCAATTACTTCACTTGAATAAAGAGAAGACGATAACCGAGCATACCAATATAAATTTTGAGGTCATAACCGAGACCGGAAAACCAAAGGGTAGTATATGTTTAGGGTTTAGATTTGGATGTATTATTAGGGGACAAGTGAGAGGTTATGATTCCGATAATGCTAGGGTTAGTTATGATCAGGGTTGTAGATTAGGAGTTTGGGGAAACATTAGACATGAGCCATCAGCTCCTTGTGAAGACGATATCTATGCTTAGAAATCGATTCCTCGATTATTTCGAATGTTTCATATCTTGTTAATTATTGTTATATTATTATTCAACAAAAGATTGGCGAGTTGTTCACGGCAACATATCAACATCCTTTTTGGAAACAAATTATCTTTTATATTATAGTACTATTGGATTTAATTGACAATATTTTGTAGGAGATTAAATGCTTCAATTGCTCTCTTCCATCAGCTTGGATGCCTCTTTCAATTGACCTCCTCGACTAGAACACTGATAAAGAAAAGAAAAACAGTAATTTTAGATGCTAACTGAATATTATTAGGCATATCAAGCTGACCAGAAAGAACCAGTAAGCATGAGAGTAGAGAAGACAAAACCCTAAAGCGTGGTTTCTTGGCTAAATGGTGTCTGACTTGTAGTCATTTAAGTTAATTTACAAGAGTGAAGCACGAAGAAAAAAAGCTAGAAAAATGATGAAAATGTTGAAATCCAAATAGGAGAGGTGAAAAAGATACCCATATATATTTGAAGGTGGAGTTGGTCTGCAAAGGATGGGATAAATCTTGCCAGCTGACCATACAACTTTAGCTTGATACTCCAATAGAGGTGCATCAGGGCCCCCTGGGTTGAAATTGGCTCTCAAGACTTGCTCGAACTTCACATTAAATCCCTGGAAACAACAAACAAGAATATGAGATCATATATCTCTCTATGTACATAGAGATGCATAGAATTAATGTCTGTTACCTTTCCTTTGTTATATTTATCAACACATAGACATGTCATGTTTGCTAGAAACTGGCGAACGGTCAAACCTTCTTCAAGTTTATCGTCCATACCCGGGACTGTAGCAATTCCAGCCCAGAGGAAAGGTGGGAACTTGTTAGTTGACACAAAAAAAACCCTAAAAACCAAAACCATGTTACCGATAGATATGATTGATCGACTCAAAAGAGAGATTAACGTAGTGAGACGATATAAAGAAGACCTTGGTTTCGATGACCGTGCGCCTGTAAAAACGGGCTTTCTTCTCAAAGTCCTTGTCCAAATACTCGCTGTCATCTTGAGAGGAATGATACTCCCGTCCATCGAAGCTATCCTTGTCCCATTCTAAATCACTATCACTATAAATATCCTCATCGACGACACTTTCTATGTCGCCTTCGTTTTCACTGAGATCCTCCGGCGTGGACGTGGTGGTTTCAACCTTGCGCTTCCCCAGCAAACAAGAGTCATCTTCGGTGGTCTCTATCGATTGGGTTTCGCTTATACATCCATCCTTCCTCTCGCTGTCGCTTGATTTGGGATCCATGCCGATCTAGTAAACCCTAGATTTCCTTTTCAATTCAATTTGGGTTTTTTTTTTGTTTTTAATTTTCTAAGAACAAGCAAAACAAACGCACAGCTAACACGATTTATCCCCTCCGTCACACTTCTTTACGTTTGTGCCCATCAGAAGAATCAGTTTTTTTTTT